GTGGAGTCCCACCCCCCACCCCAAACACGCATGTTTCTGGAGGAGAAGGTCCTGGGCGAGCAGGATGAGCCCTTCCTACCGCGGCTGCTCGGGACTGACAGATGGCATGTCACTGCTGTCGAACCCTCTGTGCTATGAAGCCTGGTCCTGGGGACTGAACCCCAGGCAGCGGCCGCCCAGCCACATCGTGAAGTGGCTCTCTCTCCTTCCTCATCACCCTTTAAATTCTTGCCGTGCTCTCGATTCCTGAGCTGTTTGGAGGAAGGACATGTCACAGCGCCCTTCAGGAACCGTTAGCAGGCTGAGACGCAGTGACAACTCCCGGATCTTCCAAGTTACCTCTCTGCTGCCCTGTGTTGCAGACAACGCAGTTGGACCCCGGAGGAGGGTAGCGATTTGCCCAAAGCCACACAGCTAGATGGAGGCAGGGCTGGGGGGTGGGGGGTGGGAGCCAGCTTGGTTCATCATGGCTGTGGGTCATAACATGCTCTTTAAAGTGCCAGGGTTCTTCCTCGCCTTGTTTTTATGGAGCTGAGGTTACAACGATGTATGTATTCCCGAAAGCCTGCGGGGACAGACAACAGGGCAGTTTGAAATAAATAGCAGGGAGACCGTTGCGGGGAGGTGGCTGCGGACTGGGTTGAGCAGTCCGCTACATTTTCAAGAAAAAGAAAGATGGGGGATGCGGCCAAAGCCTGGCCGGCTGCAAAAGCCCAGGAGCAGGAGACTGGCAGGTGAGAACCAAGACCAGATTGAGGCTGGCGTCTTTCGGCGCCCTGGGTCTGGGGCCTGTGGCTGGACTGTGATGGGAGGAGAGGCAGGGCCTGGGGGTGCTAAAGGACCCTCGGTTTCCAGCAAGATGGTTGCAGGTCCTGCTTTCCTGAGATGATCATGGCACGCACGGGAGCTAGGCAGGCACGCTGAGCAGATTGCTCCTTGGGAAAGTCACTTGCCCCCAACCCCATCTTGTTTTCCATCATTTATTAGCCTAACCATTTCACCGGAGACGCTGGGCAGATGTTATTCCCCGTGCCCAGTTGGGAGCACAGATTCTGAATCTCGCGGGGTCTCTGGGCACGTGTCTCCGAGCTGCTTCTGTCTGTGTCTGCTAGATTAGCTCCTTCCAAGGAATAGTGTTTTCCCACCAGCCAAGCTGCCTTCTTTGAACCACACTTGAAAAGAAACATTCAAAGTCTGTGCCCGCCTCCCCAAACACCTCTTTCCAAAGTCAGCGGTCTTCCCGCCGCCGGCACCTACCTTCTCCCAGGTCCTCATCTGAGGACCTCACTCAAAGGCGGTGGCTTTGGGCGACCCATGTGGACCACGTGCGGCTGCCTTATTGATAACACAGTGCTTTGGGTTGCCAGGAGGAGTTTTCCAACGTGTGGTCTGGTTCCAGTTTGTGATTTGTGATCTGTCCTAATTGTGGAAGTCACATGTCTTAATTTCTTTTCCCCCCTTTCTTGGAACTGAATGTTTAGGGCTTATTTGTGTTGGACCAAATGCTGTTTTAACAGCTGTTCTAATCGGAAATGCTGTCAATGATTAACCCTGATGGTAGTTTTTCTTTCAAAAATACTTCTCCAAGCTCTCTCAAAATGTCCAAATCGGGCTTCTTGGTAGGAAGTCGTTTAGTGTGGTTGCTTCATTGCTGGGCAGGCCTCAGTTTCCCCATCTGAAACGTGAAGCTCTCATTGGAAGGGCCTTCCCTGGAGGGTGTTATGAGCTCACATGTGGGAAATGCGTGGGGGCAGCTGGGGTGGTGCATGGTAACGGTCATGATGGTTGTTGTTGTGAAGAGTGGCTTTCTGTCCAGCTTACATTTCTAGGAGCTTCCCCTCTGGGATCACCATCCTCCAAAAAATCAGTGTTAAGGAAAAGTCCTTGAGGAGGATGGTCCTGTCCATTCTTCGTGCACTGGTACGCTGAGCCCATTCCCAGGGGTGGGGCAATCACAGAGAGATGGGTAAGGTTTACTCCCTGCTTCTGCCATTTAGGGAGGCCAGCAGGGGAGTGTCACTCCAAGGCAGGGGATCACCCTGCAGTGACAGCTGGGAGGGACGGAATGGGTATGGGAAGCCCACCCCAGGCCCGGACCCAGGGATAGGGAAGCCCTGGTTTACTATAAACACTGGCCAAGTGTGCTTCCCCTACCCCAACCCACCCACTCTCTGCCCACCTCCCAACCCTGTTTCATTCTGTCTCATGCAGCTAGGCCTTCCTGGAGTTTGGGCCCAGGAAAGGGCCCAAATGCCTATATCCCAGGGCTCCAGAAGGTTCCCTGTCTGTGTGGAGTGGTTCTGATGTTTGTGGTCTTCGGAGGTGGGCAAAGGAGGCAGGACCTGCTTCTAGTGGGGGTGGAAGGGTGACACTGGGAACTTGCTCAGAACTACCTGGTGGCCTGGGAGGCCAAGGCTGGAGCTGGGCACAGCTACGGGAAATCTCAGCAGGTCCCTTTTCCTTAAAACTGGAAGATGCTGGACTCCCAACCAAACCCTGCAGGAAGATTCCACCTGGGCAAAAGCTGTGGCCACATGTTTGCTAAAGGGTATGGGGAAGGGGAAGGCCAGCTCCTTTTCATATTTTTCCTGCAACTTCCAAGACCCTGACACTTGACCTATATGCTAGCGGAAGTAAGCAACAGATGGGAAACCCGTTGATAACCACCTGCCCCAGAGGTTGTGTGAGAGCTGGACCTGCTGTGTAGGCCAGAGTAACTGGGAAGGTTCAGATCCTGCCTGCTTCCCGCCTTTCTGTCTCAGGGTTGGGAGGGCAGGAGGCAGAGACCCATGGGGATGGCCGTGCCTCACCCTGTTGGTGAAGGGCGCCCTGCCTGCCCTGCCTCCCACTTGTATGTCAGCATTCCGTCCATTGCCACCCTGGCCGCAGATGTCACCCACCATGGGCCAGGCCCAGATCTTCAGCCATGGGGGCCTTGGAAAATCAATGCAGGGAGGCTAGTGATACTCTTTTTGGCTAAATATTTATCAAGTACCTACTGTGTGCCGGGCACTGCTGTGCTGGTTGTTGGTGGTAAGAGGCCTTTGGACCAGTGAGCCTGTTTGGTCTAATTTATGTCTGTTTCCCGTTTTTAATATGTCCTTCTGTTCTGATGGGGCACATGGACATCTGATGGTTGAAGGACCGTGTTACCCTATGCAATTTTGGACTGAGATGTAGGGGATTGTTCTAGAACTCCTGCCAGATACAACCTTGATCCTATTTCCTTCCCTTTCCCCACTGTCAATCAAGGGAGGGATGAACAGAAATGAGGAAGGATCCTGTTTGGAAGAGAAGATACTGTTGGAGAGAAGAACTCTTCCCACTTACTTAGATTAATAATTTATACAGTAATTACTTAGTCATCTTCTTAGATTCCTTACAATATAAATGATGGGTATTTAGTGGGTCAAGCCCAGAGATGGTGCAAAGAACAGCTCCGTACAGCAAGGAAGTATCTGGCCTCAGTGTCAACAGCACTGAAGCTGAGAAGCCCTGGTGTCCAGTGTCCTTACTGGAGCGTACCCAAATGGCAAATGGGGTGGTAAGGCCGAGAAGTCGTAGCTAGGGGAACGCTCTCTCTCCACCCTGGAATTTGGAAGTGGGACCCATTACTGGCATTCAGTGGGTCATTCGGTCCTTTGCAACAAAGAATTGTTCCACCCCAGATGCCCACAGGGAGCAACTCTGGCCCTGTCCTGAGGATCAGAGTGTTCCAGGAGAGAGGACCAGTCCCTGGACCCCACCCAGGACGCCCCCATGGGGTAGACAGACTGTCCCCGTGTTGGAGCCTGCCTGCTGTGGCCGGCAGCCCCAGGATGTAGGGCCACGCTAGCCCATTCTCTGTCTTGGCACTTCCCCAACCAGATGGGTCCTCCTTAGTGGCCGGGGGTTAGAGGGAGGTGGGGGGTGCTAACCCCAGGAATTCTCCCAAGGTCTGCACCCTGTAAGCCTTCAGACAGCGTTGTTTTTATTTTAAGTGCACCAGATTTCTCATTGAGAGCCATTTGACATGCAGATGATCAGAGATTTTTAAAGGCTGTTGTCATGGTTTTGTTTCTGGAAGATTGCTGTGTGCTGATGAGAGCTTTGAAGCCCGCGCTGGGACGTCGGTCCTGGGGGCCTCGGGATTCAGCAGGAGTTGAGGAAGGCGGTCGGTCCTGAGCCCTGTCTGTCAGTCTAGTCCTTCCTGTCTGGACACAGTTAAGCATTGGGCTCTATTTTTTTTTTTTTTCCCCAAACTGCTCTGGATCCGAGATCGGGGGTTCACATAGGACAGGAGTGGGAGAAGCAGTTGGTACTTACCTAAATATGATCTTGCCTGGCATGTTGGGGGTGGAGCAGAGAAGGGCTCAGCTCATGATCTACTTCTAGGAAGGATTGGGGTTCCAACAACTTACCCGTGAGTAGCTGCTACAAGAAGGCATGTTGTAACCCTAAGATGGGGAGGCACTCATGGTGGGATTTCAGGGTGTGTGAGGGAGGGATCTGTCTGGTGGGGGAGAGGCCAAGAAAGAAGTGGAGAGGGCTGAAGGAGACCCTCAAAGGCACCTGTGGCCCTGGGGACTTCTGGTCACCTGCTTCGTCTGAGCCGGAGAACCTGTCTAGCTGTTGCCATTGGGCACAACCAAGTCCTCACCACAGTGCGCTTAACTCAGATAATAGGTTTTACTGGGGTGTACGGCAGAGGGCGCCGGGGGTTGGGGGTGGTTCTTGTTTTATTTATTTATTTTTAATTTTTTTTAATTAGGGCTTCCATCCAGAGCCGGCAGATTCTCTGGTCTAAGCCAAACATGGAGACCCCCCTCAGATAGGGAATTGGAGCTCCCCAAAGCCGAGGCAGCCCGGCTGGGGGAGGGCCATGGATTCAGCAAGGCCTCCTGGCAGGGGGCCTGATAAGGGGGTCTGTGGCTTCAGGGGAGTGTGCGTTGACCCCTGTGTGACATTTCGGCAACTGGATGTATCTGCTTGTACTTCACACCATCTCTCTTCTTTTGCAGACAGAGATTGCGAAGAGATTGAACACGATTTTAGCACAGATCATGCCTTTTCTGTCACAAGAGGTAAGACATTCTTTCCCTGCATCTTTCTCGTCTTTCGAGTGCAATGCCTCCCGGTGTCGCCTGGGTCCCCCTGGAGCCCCAGCCCCTATTCATTCATAGGGACTGAAGTTAGCAACCTGGGGTTTTAGAGAAAATACTCCAGCACATCAGAGGGAGTGTTTGCTCATTCTTCTGGTAGAATTGGTTCTCTGCCACTTCCTGAGACCAAGGAGGAGGATCCCAGCCTTCTGATGGGACTAGCAATGGGCAGTGGTTGCCCTCTTTGCCTCCCATTCCCCATCCAAATGGGCATTCCTAAATGCGTCTGCATCTCTCTGTCCCATCTCCAACACCTGAAAACATCTAGGAGCAAGACGCCTGGCCACATAGTGCGTAGGGGCACACCCTATAAAGGGAATGAGTACCCAAGGGGGCCCCAGCCCCTAGGACAGAGGGTCCTCCCTGGAGGCATGGCCAGTCAATCCTACTACCTTCTAAGCATGCCTTCTAGGAGACCGCCACCTGAGGCCTGGACGGGGCTAGTGGGTGAGACGAGGGAAATGTCTCCAAGGAGGCCCCTTGGGCCAGGTCAGACAGGTGAGCTGTCTGTCCAGCATAGCTCACTCCAGCTGGGGCAGGCCCCGGCCACCCCCTCAGCTCCCTTCCAGACTCCTAGGTTTCTTGAGTCAGAGCAGCAACCCATAAATGATGGAGTCCAAAACACGACACAGTGATGGCCTAGAGCTCACAGCCCAGTAGGGGAGACAGGTGCACACGAAGCGGATGTTATCCCAAGGCGAAAGGGAATGAATGCACCAAAAAATATGTATTTTTCAGAGTGGTTTTAGGTTCACAGCAGCCCACGGGTGGAAGGTACAGAGCTGTCCCCGTTCCCAACATCCCGCCCCAGAGCGGTGTATTTATTATACTTGATGAGCCCGCATGGACCCATCATGACAACCGTCCCCCGTCCCTTCTTGATTTAAGGATTCATCATGCCACTTTCTCTCTCTCTCTCTCCAGCCACATCTTCGTTTTCCTCTTTACTTGGCTAGGGATTGCATATCTGTAAATTCACAGACCTCACTTCTGAACTCCTTGAATGTAGAGTGCCAGTCTCCTGACTTGGCACGCACTCTAGCTGCGTCTCCTAAAAAATGGGAACACCCTTCTATGTGACAAACGCTGTTCCCGCATTTAGAACATTAACGAGGGCTAGCCTCTCCCACCCGGCTCCCATTCGAAGGCACGGAAGGACATTTTTTTTGTACGTGTGGTGAGGGGAGGCGGGTGGCTGACAGCCGTGTTTGGGCTCATTTCTGTTGAAACTTAAAACAATGTACAGGAAGTGGGGCTTGAACACGCGCTTTTTAAAAAGCGTTTAAAACAGAAGGTAGAAAGGCCCCACCTGTTTCACGGGCCTCCTCTGCCTCATGTGGGGGCTGCGTTCCTCCCTGGCCCCAGCGGTCCTCCCTGTGCCCCCCTCGGTCGGAAAGACCGTGCAGCTCACCCCTTCCCTGTTCCCTCCAGCACCAGCAGCAGGTGGCCCAGGCGGTGGAGCGTGCCAAGCAGGTCACCATGACGGAGCTAAACGCCATCATCGGGGTACGTGGACTCCCCAATCTGCCTCTCACCGTGTGTATAGCCCTTTTATTCCTCTCATTTACCATAACCAGAGATCGACCCTGACCTTAGCTGGCCTCAAAGGATGGCAGGCCCAGGGCTCCGGCTTCCCGTGGCTTAGACCCATCTGGGGCTCTCACCCCATGAGCTCCCCAAGCGGATTGCTTGTCTGACATGCCTCAGATCCACCTCTAAACTCTCCAGCCCCAACCTCCCCCAGCTTTTGGTGTCCCCCCCCCCCCCCCGCATGGTTGGGGGGGGCAGGCTCTGAGATAACCGTCAGACCCAGCTGCTCCTCAGGCCTCCCTGGTGGGGGGCCCTGTCTGCCCTGTGTCCCCCTCCCTGGCAAAGGTCTGCCCTTCTTTGGCCAGCTGAGATCAGAATTATCTCTGTTGTACTGTGGATCTGAGATGTGCTGTGGAATTTGGGTTGGGGCCTTCCTGTGCCATGCACTGAGCTGCCTGACTGAGTGTGATTGGTGCGCCCTTGTGAATTCCAGCCGGGATATTCTGGGAGTCCTGTCTCTCCGGGAGTGGGAAAAATACCCAGGACCGCTTTGTGAGGTCCACTTCTGGTCAGACCCCTCCGTGGAAGAAGGAAGCCGGATCTCTCCTCTCCTAGATCCCTTTCTGGCTCGCATCTTGAATGCATTTCGTGGATTCACAGAGCATCTCTCTCCTGCTTTGGTGTGAGGCTAGGGATATTTAAGAGAAGCAGCTGAGGACAAACAGTTTTTGCATGTCCCTCTGGGCAAAACTCTTAGCCTCAGGTGTTTTCTCCACCTTTTGTCCCTAAAATGAAGGAGGGTCAGGGGGCTTCTGAGCGATATAAATTCCAGAACACGCACTGTGGAGCTCTTTTCCATAGGTCTGGGGGTGGGGCTGGGAATGTGTGTTTCTAAAGTTTTCCAGATTTTTGTGAAGCAGTGGCCCAAATGACTGACGTCTGGGACCCTGCTTGGTCCTCATTTCTCTTTTGTTCTCGTGTGAGGTCATGATTTCAAGGTGGAACGGATAGTCCCAGAATGTTCTGCTTGGTGGGATAAAGGATAACTCGTGGGTTTTCGGTCTGGGGCAGAAACCCCGAGACATACATTCTAGTTACGGTTCTTTCCTGTGTGACCTCGGCAGGTCCTGTCTCTTCCGAGGCCTCAGTTTCTGCGTCTGTTAAAGGAGGGAGTGGACCATCTTCTGGGGCCACATGTGCAGGGAGGCTGGGGGCAGAGGGACAGAGGGATGCTGGTGGCTTCTGCTGCTCCATCGTCCTGCTGTGGGGACCTGTGACAGTGACCAGTTTCTGTCCTGGTCTCAGCCCCGTGGCGGCTGCTGAACGCTGCCGCAAGAGGGCATGGAAGCATTCGTCTGGTCTGAAGCCTGGCAATGCTTGGGGGGAGCAGAGCAGAGTCCGGAAAGAGGACTGTGAGTAAGTGGTTTGTGTCTTTAGCCATTGGGCTGGGGGGCGGCACCCTGATGGGGAAACTGTGCTTTCGTAAAGTTTATTGTCCCTGAGATCAGCCGGCCTGAGCTTTTTCAGCCTTGACACTGTCAAGTTTGGGGCCGGATGCTTTGTTGTGGGGCCTGTTCTGTGCACTATAGGATGTCTAGCAGCAATGCTGGCTTCTACCCACTGGATGCCACTGGAACCCAAAAATGTCTCCAGATGTCAGCCAAATGTCCCTGAGGGGTGGGGCCTCCATGGTTCACGGATCTTGCCAATGCCCTCATTTCACAGAGAGGGGCATGATTCGAGGATGGGCACGAAGTCAGCCAGAAGCCTGAGGGCTGACTCCCAGCTCCGGCCTCCTCCCCGCCCCACTCACTGGTCAGCCCGCCTGGGGCCCCTGGGGGCCCCGGTCTCAGGGACCAGTTCACGGCTGGCGTGATGGCAGTCTGGCGGCTCTCCAGCAGCAGTGGAAAGCGGCCCCAGGGCGGGAAGTGCGCCATGGGTTCTGTCCTCCAAAATTCCTCCTCTTCCATGTTCTCGTCCCGGTCCCCTTTCTAGGCCAAGCCTTCCCGTCCGCGCAGTGGCCCCGGTAGGTGCCCCCTCTACCACTCCTGCCTCCCTCTTTGGAATTAAAATCCTCTTATGAAAATAACTTTTTTCTAAATTCTAAGAAAAGAGTGAGATTGGGGAGGAAGTGCAGCTTGGATTAGCTCCACTTCCTTTAAGTAGTATTTAGGAAGCTACAAGTTAGGTCAAGGCAGCTCGAGGCAGATATTGGAATTCAATTAAAGCCAACGAGTGGGGCCTGTGACCCCCATTTCCAAGGTAATTGCTTCTCCGGCTCTGAGTGAATGCAGCCGTCGGCCTGTCATTAAGCAGGAGGCTGTCTCCTCGCCGCGCCTGACAGAGCCTCACAAGGCAGGAATTCCGGACAGCTGAGGCCTGCGCGCCAGGGAGCCGGGCCTGACTGCACTCTGGGAAGCAGGGGCGGCTCTGCTCCCTGGGAGGAGTGGGGCGAGCGGGCTGGCTGCCGACAGCTGACTGGGGAAGGTGGGGTGGAGGTGGGGGGCGGGGGGTGCACCGCAGGGCCGGGGTTCTGGCCCCAGCGGTAAAGCGCGGTGCAGGGACGGGCCCCGGAGGCTCTCAGTAGCAACTGGTGGCTTCTCCCCTCACCCCATGGTGGTGTTGGATTTTCCCGTCCGGAAGGAGAAGTAGCCTGGCCTCCTGGTCCGGGAACTAGGATGGCTTTGGGCAAGGCCGTCCAGAGTTCCTCCAGGCCTCAGTTTCTCCGGTTGTGACCAGACGGAGGAGGGCTGGGTAAGTTTTCTAGAGTGTGCCTGCTTCAGTCGGGTGTTTCTGACTGTCTTGGGCATGGGGTTGAAGGACTCTGAGGTCATGTCTTGGTGCCACAGTGCAGTGTATCTGGTGTGGGCACCTGTCCTGGCTTATTTATCACACGACGTAGAGTATTTCTAGGGTATCCTGGGGCGGAAGACTCAGAACCGCCATCAGGCTGGTGTGAAGGGAGCGGGGGACAAAAGGGCAGATGGGGGGAGCCCAGGCTTGCTGGCCCAGCATACCCCCTCTCTGGGGAACTCAGGTATTCCCCGTGGGCCCAAAGATCTGTTACTGTCGACCCCGTACTGTGCTAGGGCCCTGTTTCTTGGATCCACATTATTATGACAGGGGTCCGCAAAGAGTCAAGGTCCCTGTGCATGGGGGCGGGGCGCGGGGAGGCTTGTCCCTGGAGCAGCATCTAGCGGAAGGCATCCCTAGGCCGATTATAGACCCTGTGAGCTGACCTAGCAACTATTTCCAGAATCCTCCTTTTCCATCGCTCTGTGCTGGCCCAAGGTTGTTGAACCTGACGGGCGGCGTGGCCTTTACCCCACCCGCCCACTGACAGTTTGGTTTGTACTCCCTTGGACATTGGTTAGCGGAAGACATGTTCTAAAGTGTTGATTTGATGGGGCGGGGCTGGGGGGGGAGACGAGGGAGATCGTAGCTTGTCACAGACACGCGGTATTCTGAAGCCCTTCCTGAGGGTTTTGCATTCACTCCGGGATGCAGATGGGCAGGATTCACTTGACAGAGTTTTCCAGGAGGAAGAAGGAGGAGAAGGGCATGCTTCGGAATGCATCAGTTTCTTTTCAGGCCGGCGGCGTGGAGGGGAGAGGGCGTGCTGGCTCTCAGTCCGGGCGGGCTGTGCTTGCCTCCCCGAGCCAGTCCCCATCTCCGAAATAGGATAGCAGGCATTGTTGGGAGCTCTCAAAGCTCTCTCTGCACGGAAGCGCGGTCCAGTGCGGAGCTGTGGGGCGGGGGGGCAGCCATGCAAGGTAGCAGGAACAGGGAAGGCCCAGTGATGCTCCCCCCATCCTGGGGGGTCCGTAAGTGTCCATTTTATGCAGACAGAACTCTGGGTTTCCTCTGGTGGGTATCCTTAGTGGGTCTAGGCTTTGGAAATGCTTAGACAGCTTCACTAAGTTTAACCCAAATCATGAACCTGAGAAGTGAAGCATTAAATCAGCCAGCAAAGGCATTAAAGCATGATGTGCATAATCCAATTACCCGTACTCAGGGAGGAAGCTCTTCCCCATCAGCCTCTCCTGTAAGGGGCCCTATCCTCTGAGCCCAGGGCATTGGCACTTGACACACGCGCGAAGACAGGCACACACTTAGGGCCTGTGGGCCGCCTGCTTCGACGTGCTTGTGTTCTGGCATGAAATATCACAGGAGGGATGAGTCCTCCAGAGCGGGCTCGGTTCCAGGCACTTAGCCGGTCTTGGGGGGTTGGCGGTGGATGGGGGGGTGCTGGTGACTTCCTCTCCCATCCCGGTATTGGAAGTACTAGCAACTGGAAACAGGCTACAGCGAAGTGGTGTGCTCCATCTCTTCTTGGATGGCGGACTTGATTCTATGTCTCCCTGCTTGTCACCCCCCCCCACACACATGGCACTGTATTGCAGCACAAAGTCCTCTGAGGTCAGGGCGGGCCACAGGGGATTGAAGTGCAGCCTGAGGCCAGCCGGCCGCGCTCTGTCTGCCTGCGGAGGGACTGGGGCGGTGACACAGAACAGCAAGGCAGGTGAATCGTTGCCAGCCAGCAACCCCTGCCCCGCTGGGGAGAAACTTTTGTTTCACTCTCTTTTTTGCAACCAAGACTGTGATGAGCAGACCCCACCCACGCCCAGTAAGCGCTAGCATCTGCCCTCGCCCCAAGAGATAAGCCTTGGAGGCCAGGGCTCCCCTCTTTGCTTCCTGAAGCCTGCCGGGCCACTCCCGACTCTGCCTTCAAGCTGGGCAAAGGACACCTCAGGGGACTTTCTGGCTGCACAGGGGGTGCTTTTGTACTTGAAGATGAGAAGTATAGGGAAATTTCCTTTCCTCTGTTGCAAAGAGAACACTGATGTCCAACACGCTATGGCAGGAAATCACCCTCCCAGGCTTGGACGCGCAGCAGCTTTGAAAAGCCTGTGTTCTCCGAACAGCCACCACAGCCTTTGTTCCAGATTTCTGATGCTTGCTCACAGGTTCACATTTCCAGGAAGCAGGACACACTCCACGGAAGCTCCTTGTCCCCATGAACTGTTCTAGCTGTATTTCAGTGGGCCTCGGAGAGGAGGCGTGGATCTGGGAGGTGGATGGCCCTTTTCAGACAGAGTCACTGTGTGGACTTACTTCCCAGCCCCTCCATGTCTGCCTTTTGCAACATTATCACTTACTTACTCAGCAAGTGCACACTGAGCAAACAAACCAGGCACCATTAGAGGTGCTGGGATGGATAGAGCAAGGTCCCGTCTTCCTGAAACTCACAGGTCAGCAAGCATCCCATAAAGATGAAGGAAATGGTTATAGCTGTGATCCATTCATAGCTTTTGCTAACGTGAACTGAGCACCTGCTCTGCCTTGATGTGTAGTATCACGTGTGTGGTCCTTGCACTGGGAGAAAACAGAGGCCCAGAGAGGTCCACTGACTCCTCTAAGGTCTCACAGCTGATAAAGGGTAGAGCTGCACGTCTGCCTTAGCCTGTCTGGCCCCGGTGTCAGAAGGGAGACCTCTATGCTGACCAGGCTGGTGGGGAGGGCTCCTGGAGGAGGAGGCATTTGAACTGGGCAGGGAGCCGAAAAGGTTGGGTAAAGAGGACAGAGCTTACCCGGAGAGGTAAGAATTGGGGTATTTGGACTTACTCAGCCGCGTCTCTCCCTGGGCAAGAATCTGCAGTCAGCTCTTTCTCTAGCAATGGAATTGTTCATGGAGGGAGCCAGCCTTGGGCCCATGCAAGCTGCTCCCCAGAAGCCCTTCTCCTCTCCTCCCCTCGCCTCTCCTCCCCTCTCCCTGCAGCAATCTCGCTGGCTGTGCCCTGTGAAAAAGTAGATTAAATCCCTCGCTCCTTGCTTTCTGGGATTTTACTAAATAGTTAACACTGGCAAAATTAAATGGCCTGCCAGCAACCGGTCTAAAACCACAGGGCTGCTGGAGGAGACCCATTTTAAGACCGCACGTGTAGGTGCAGTTGGATGGTTGGCCCACACCGAGGAGTGACAGGTAGCCGTTGGAAAGGACGTGTTGATTGGTTCAGAACAGTCTTCAACTAAAACCCAGTTGTGTAGTAGTAGCAATTGTAGTGAGGTCGGCAAGAGCCTATTGATTTAGGAATACATTTATAATATGTAGATTTTCATAAAGGAAAATTCTAGAGAGAGGAACAGTGGAATCTTCTAGAGAGTGGGATTGAAGAGTAATTTTTTTTTTTAAGATTTTTATTTATTTATTTGACAGAGATCACAAGTAGGCAGAGAGGCAGGCAGAGAGAGAGAGGAAGAAGCAGGCTTCCTGCTGAGCAGAAAGCCCAATGTGGGGCTCGATCCCAGGACCCTGGGATCATGACCTGAGCCGAAAGCAGAGGCTTTAACCCACTGAGCCACCCAGGCGCCCCTGAAGAGTAATTTTTTAAGGACAACTTTTTAATCCATACTTACTTTATGTGTCTTCTGACTGCATATATTATTTTTCTTGTAATAAGACCTAACAATTATAATTTCTTTGAAAAGAAAGAATAGGGGAGCTCTGCAATAAGCTCCTGTATCCCAGGAAGAGCCTGAGTGCAGGCTGGGTTGGGTGGGGTTTCTGCATGGGGCCCCCTGCCGGGGTTTTGTTCTGTATCAGGGACCAATGCCCACCAGTAATTTCCCTAAATCATCCAACAGTAGATGTTTCAGCTCTGAGTAATGGCGACTGGTCCCAGCCTTTGACCCAGAGCTGATAAAAAAGCACCCCCCCTTTTGGGGGGCGCAGGAGTGTGGTGGTGGCCGGGGTTCCCCCATTGACTTCCAGATGAGCCAGATTTGCAGTTTGCTGTGTCTTGGTTGTCAGGAGAGCAGAGCCCTTCTCCCCGATTGCAAATACTTCCTGCCTCTGAGAGCCTCCCCTCCCACCAGACTGCAAACTTTCCCCCTGTGTTCTGTTGTCTGCCAGCCTGGCCCAAAAGCCAAGTTTACATCAGCAGGCAAGCTTGTCACCCCCACCAAGCTCTTCGGACTTGAGGAGTCATGGTGGGGTGGGGGGCTCTCCTTAGGGACACTCGTTGGATAAGATCGATGGTTGACAGATTTGAGTCCAGGTCTCACCTACTAGTGGTTGGACCTGGCTAATTACTGGCCACCCATTCCAGCCCCCTGAGTGTCAGTTTGCCATCTGTAAAATGGGCACAAACCCTCCTTTGCCACCCAGGCCGGAAGGGTCAGAGAGAATATTTGGAAAGTGCCATGCGTAAATGTCGGTCCCCTTCTCTTGTGTTCCTGGAGAAGATGCCAGCATAGGTGGCTGTCAGCATACCCAAGGCCCTGGCCACTCCTCAGAGGTATTTGGCGGGGGTATAGCCTGCCCCACAATTCCTGTGGTTCTTGGCACAAAGTTAGGAATGGTAAGATAAAGGCTATTTGTAGTGGCTGCTGGGGAGAGGACCTGGCTGTCCAGAGGGTGTAGGGTATGGCGGGGGAAAGATAACACTCTGGGGCTAATCTGGGTAGGGTTTCCTTGTTAGCTGTTGTTGTGAGATCACTTAATGAATCATCTGCCTGAGGACACACAGTTAGGAAGCACCACAACCAGGATTGGAATCCTGGTCCATCTAGTTCCAAACCCCACTCCTGTTACTCTGGTCTCTGCTGTGTTCTCCGCTCTGAGGTCCAGCGACGTCAGCTCTTCATTCCACTGGCCCCAAGGTCCTCTTGATCTCGGGAATTTTCTTAGGTGGCCTGGCCCTGGCTCAGCCAGCCAGCCTGGAGTTCCTGAGAATTAGGGAGGCTTCCCAGGATATGGGCTCAGGGTGGGAACCACCGGCTGCGAATGTCTGAAGGCATGCAAGCATGAGCAAGTGTGACTGCTGGCTTAAAAACGGGCCCCCTCAACCGAGAGGGAGCCCCGATGATTCTTTGGTCCTGAGATGCATGCTTTATTTATCTGGGGCTTGGAAATGGACACTGAGGAATTGTGTCCGGAAACTGGGGTGGGGGGATGGGTGGAGAGTTTGGAGACAAAAGTCTGGTGCCTAAACTACCGTCGGTTAACAGGCTTCCTTCAGCCAGACAGCATGTGGAATGAGCTGGGGGCGGTAAGAGTTTTGGAGGGCATCCCCCCTGCCCCCCAGCAGCCTCCCCCGCCGTCCCTGCTCAGCTGTGCTCACCACCCACTTCATTGCAGCAACAGCAGCTCCAGGCCCAGCACCTCTCCCACGCCACGCATGGCCCCCCGGTCCAGTTGCCTCCCCACCCGTCAGGCCTGCAGCCTCCAGGGATCCCCCCGGTGACGGGGAGCAGCTCGGGGCTGCTGGCGCTTGGTGCCCTGGGCAGCCAGGCCCACCTGACGGTAAAGGACGAGAAGAACCACCATGAGCTGGACCACAGAGGTGCGGCCCAGAGCTGGGGCAGAGGGCAGGGCTGGGCTGGGGGCGGGGATCCTGTAGGTAGGTCCCACTGCGAGGGGACACAGCAGGGGTTGTCGCCCTGGGGCCAGCAAAAGATGGGGAGCCGTCTGTCAGATTTCTGGTACATGGAAGCCAGAGCTCCACCCTCCATGACTACCCCTCCATCCCTGCTGTGAACCTGGAATTCTCTGGCCTGGAATGCCTCTCGTGCAGCCTCCATCATCCCAGCTAAATGCTGCCTATCTCTAAAGGGCCCATTCCTTTAACATGCCTTCCAGTCTGCGCTGGCAGCTTTTTTCCAGGAGAGTTGAAGAGCTGGGGTCCCAAGAAGGAGCCCTTGGTTGCTGTCCTCTTGTAGCCTGCCCCTAGAGAGTGTTTTGTCCTCACCCAAGAGCATCAGTCCTTCAAGAACAGGGGCCACATTCCGGGTTTTAACTTAGCGTATGTGTCTCACCAACGCAGGTGCCTTGGAAAAGGTACACAGTTGGCACTCAAGTAAAGACTTACAAGTCGACTGTCTTTAAGCAGAGATCGTGATTGCTGGGGAAGGAACAGTCATGGCTCCCTGGCAGGCCCTTTTTCAAAAGTTGCCATGTCGTGTGGTCTGCCCTTAGACATTTTTTCCCCCGTTTTATTGAGATAGAATTGACCTGCAGAAATTGTGCGAGTGGAAGGTGTGCACCAGAATCTTATTGGCCCTTGGCTATTGCCCAGGACATCTGGCCCAGGCCAGAGCACCAAGGCAGCAGCAGAGTGTGGGAAACAGAGACTGAGTTGTGTGTCCCTGCAGAGGGCTGGTGCACTAGGCAGGGGAGAGGGTGTCCTTATAGCAGAGAGGAGAGTCCGGGAGCTTATGCTTGGCCACGCAGAATGATAGAAGCTTCTCTGCAAAGGCACACAGTGTGGTGTTAGTTTAAAAAAAAAACAAAAAAAAAACAATCCCACAGTTCCTTTATTTGTTTGTTTCTTTGAAACAATAACATGCTCAGTACCCAGATCCTTTGCAAATGGGTAGCTTTAAAAAGTGCTGACCAGGGATCTGGGTCCCCTTGTTGGCATGTCAGGGAGAGTAGGGCCACGGCCCCTGCCCCACCCGGGACTGGTGGCCAGGGAGAGAGCATGGGGAATGGAGGCGGTTAACTTGCAAAGTGGGAAATGTCACCTAATGACCCTGCCTTGGCTGACCCACAGTGACTCAGAGAGCTAGGTCTGCTGCCCATTTTAAAACCCATCAATGAGCAAAGCATAAAAGCCAGCTGCATAAGACTGACCTTTTTTTTTTTTTTTGTCTTTTTCTCTTGGGGGGCCTGACCCTCCTCCTGTCCGGGCCTTCCATCCCCAAAGAAAGAGAATCCAGTGCGGTAAGTGTCAGCCCTCTGGAGCCTGTGGAGTGTGGGGTGCTGGTGGGGGGAGAAGGAAGAGGGACCATGTGGGATCCTGGGGTTGTGGGGGAGGGTCTTGCCAGCCTTTCCACCCATCATTTGGCCAACGAGTAGCTTTAAGTGAGCTCTAACCCTCTTTTTTATGAGTGGTGATTACCAGAGAGGTCAGCTGACCAGTTCGTGGAGTCCCCAGGCCCCCACAAGCAGCCTAGGGGTCTGGTGTCCTGGGCGGGGTCGCTTTCCTCCTCCCAAGTTGGCTGCCCCTGTCTGATCCTGTATCATCCTCCCTTCCTCCCAATGCCTGAGGTTTGTCCGTGTTCTGGGCTTAAACTCGGTTTAAGAAGGTGCTAGCGAGCGAGCATCAGGGCCAGGCATTCTGCGCGTCTGCCAGCTCTGAGATTTGTCGTAAATCTTCCTGATCACACTGAGGCTCAGAGGCTCTGTTTCAAGTGAATAAGCCTTCTGAATAAGCACAGTGGAGTCTGGATAAAAAAAAAATCCTCCAGCGATTAGCAAAGCTATTTTATTCCTCATCGCTGTCCTTGTATCTGGGGCCATCTAATCTGCAAGGATGGCTTTGGTTATTACCTCGTGTTAAGTAGGACTTGGAAGGTCAGGCAGTTAACTAACCATCTAGATGGCAGCTTCCTCGGGCAGCTCCCTCCCGACCCCCTTCCCTCCTCCCGGCCCTCCACCAGACTGACTTTTTAAACCTCCCAATTAGCAACGGCGTTCTCGTCCCCTCTTGACTTGCCGACGTGCTCAGAAATCCGGGTGCACGTTGGGGCCCAGCAACGGCTAGGGTATATCCGAAAGGGAAGCTGAAAGTCCATTTTGATTGCTTGAGCGTTGATCCTCAGAAAGTGGCATTTTTGGAGAGTTGGGCTGGCCTAGATAGGCTGGACTGGACCCCTCCAGGCCTGGGTCTGGTCCCGGCTTCATGGGACACTGAGTGGCTCTCGGCCTCCCTGAGCTGCAGTTTCTTAGTCTGTGCCACGGACATATTCCTGTGCAGCCAAGCCTCTCCGCTTAGGAGACCCCTTCACAGCAGCGCCCAGCCTCCGGGAGGTGACCTGGTTAACACAACCTGCTGCTGAGTGACATGAGGGTTTGACGCCCGACGCCCTCTGTCTTCACGTCCTCCTCCCCATTGCTGTTTGCATTTGGCTTTGTGCCCCGTCTGTGAAAGCTTTCTGCTCCAAGAATCCCCTGGGGAACCCCCCAAGAGCTGAGCTCCTCACTCCACAGTGCTGGTCCACACCCGTGCTCGGCAGACTCCAAGAGAGGGGGCCCCCTTGGGCTCCCAGACTATCGGGAGTGGGGTTGGGGGGGTGAGGAGTCAAGCCGCCATCTATCCCGGGGCGGTGGCAGCCTCGGCCCTGCAGCCTGCCGCGAGCAGCCCTTTGCAAAGCAGGTTGTCAACAGATGAGGCCCCCGCAGGAAGGACAGGGCTGCGGCCGAGCGGGAGGGGGACGGCTGGGCGGGCTGGAAGCTGTCCCGGAGGGGTTAGTCTGGAGTCCAATTAGAGGTAGCTTCATTCATATTTCCTTGCCTCGCCGAAGCAATAAAAAATACTTAGTTTTTTGGCCGCCTGCCAGCCAGAGGCGGGCTGGATCGATGCCGCTAAATGCTTGACATGACTCTCTCCAGTAGCGGCGAGGGTTTTCAGCCTGACTGCAGGAGAAGAAAGGGCTCGCTGTTCCCCGAGCCACGGACCGGGTCGCAGGGAGAAAGCTGAGCAGCCGAGCGCCTCCTCTGCCCCACTCCCCGCCTGCCCGCCCGCCCAGGAGCCTCGCTGCCCAGCGCGGGGTGGCCGCTGCCGTGGGAGGAAATGAAATGCGGCTGGTTTCTGGGCCAGGCTCGCAGCAGCTAATTGAATTGCGGTTGTGCGCGCCTCGCCGCCGCTCCCGCCCAGCGCTGGGGAAAGCTGAGCTGCACTTCCATTAGGACCTCCATTTTTTCTTCAAGGCTTGATAACTCTGCCATTTTAATTTGCTTCAGGCAGAAACTTGGCAGGGAAGGGCTGCGCAGGAACCGGCTTAGGAAAGGAAATGAAGTTCTGCGGTTCCCACACCATCCCTCCCCTCCAAACACCAGCACTGGCCTCCAGGAGAGTGGGGGAGATGGGAGGTAGAGGCTCATTCCCTACCCGCCCCCCCCCATAGCCCCTGGCCTTTCGCTGTCCTCTGCCCGCATCTCTCTGGGTTCCCTGCGTGGCCATGTCCAGCACGTCCACACTGCCAGGGGACGTGGCCAGACCGGCCTTGCCCGGCCCTGCAGTCCAGCTGTGCGCCCCAGGAGAGCAGGGGCTGTGTTTGGCTCCTTCCTCCATCCCTGGCACCCAGCCTCTGGCCTGATCTAGGGTGGGTGCTTAGGAGAGGCGGGGAATGAGTGCTCAGGGATGAAGGAGTGTAGTTTGGTTTCTTAGAAAGGAGTAGATCTCAGCGGCCCCCTGGAGGGGTATCGGTTCTGATACCGTCCTGGCCTGGGTCTGGAGGGCACAGGCCGGCTGGCAGGTGCTGTGGCCGGTAGCTCCTCCCTCCCTGCTCCCCAGCCCTGTGCTGCCGGCCACCATGTGGGCCGTTCCTGGCCCCCGTCAGGGCCCCAAGCCAGCTGGACTCCATCCTCTGTGGGATGCTCTCCGCCTGCCTGTGCTGGTCCAGCTTGGTCTGCCGGCCCTGACCCGCTCTTCCCAGCCCTTGGATTCCAAACTGTTGCTGAGCTTGCCTGCTTTGGAGTTTGAAGGGGGAACTCATTGAGCCCTTCCAGGCCCCGCTCAGGTTTCCTTCATGTTGCCCCCCATGGGGGCTTTGGGCACGTCTCCCAACCTCTCAGGACACGATTCCATCTGCCCTTTCGCCTTTCCCTGCCTTGCAGAGGGAAAGGCTTCATGAAGTTGGAATTCTTGTTTCTTTCTAACACTTTCTCTGAAGTGGCTCAAGGCCTCGCATGGGGTGGGGGGGTAGAATGTTTATACAAAATGCCAAGTTGCCCCCCCATATGTAGAGAAGGCTTATTGGCAACCCGACATCCTCCCTCCCTGTCCGTCTCCCCATTCCAGTTGAGCTAGGCAGTGTTGGATGCGGTTCCCCGTGTGTCCACTGAGACCCATCTTTCAAGACTCCGTGCAAATTTCTCTTGTCCCTTCTTTGAGCAAATACACAGGGCCGGCCCAAGGTGGGGAGTGAAGGAGGGGTGATCCAGTTCTCAGAATGGAAGACCCCCCCAAAAAAAAGAATGGAAGATCCCACAGGCTGGGAAGCAGAGAGCTCAGCACAAGCCTGTTTATGTAACAGCTGCGTCATGGCTACAAAAGAGAATGGTGCCCCCAGGGCTCCCCGCAACATAGAGACCCCGTCTGGGGAGCTGGGAAGGCTTCCCTGGCGAAGATCCCGTGGGGGGAGGATGACAGGACACAAACAACACCTCCGCTGACCTCGAGACCCCTGCGCCTAGCTGTGTCTCGGGGTGCACGAAACGTTCACACTGACTCTCCTCCTGGTTTCCAGAATAACTCCGTGTCGCCCTCAGAAAGCCTCCGGGCCAGTGAAAAGCACCGGGGCTCCGCGGACTACAGCATGGAAGCCAAGAAGCGGAAAGCCGAGGAGAAGGATAGTCTGAGCCGATACGTACGTCTAGTGGGCGCCACGAGGCTGGGGCTGGGGTCTGGGGCATGGGAGCACCTACAGGCCTGACTCGTGGGTGAGTCAGAGGCATGGGGGTGGGTTGCTGGGTTGCCTGGTCGGGGGGTCAGGATCATACACACACTCTGTGAGCACATGGGCCATGGCCAGGACGGGGAGTAACTGAGGGGAACTGTGGGTGCCCCCCCAACACAGGCCAGGGCACCCCATGCTGCCATGATGGCCCTCCCACAATCCTGGTCTGCCTCAGGGGGCTGTCCCCGGTGCCCCCGTGCTTTGAGCCTACCCTGCGGTCACAGGGTCTGCTGTGGGCCGGGCTGTTAGGATGAGAACTGAGACCAGGGGGAAGGCCATGCTTTGCTGCTTGTGGCTCTGGGCGTGTCACCTGAGGGCCTCGGCTGCGTTTCTGGGAGACGAGGCAGGTCACCCCTCCCACACAGAGTGGCGGAAGCGATGACATGAGGCTAGCACACTTCCTCGTCTGTGATGGTGGCCGCAAAGCCGCTGGAAGGAGCCAAGGATAATGGGGCGGGTGTGGGTGAGGCCAGTGAGCGTGGAGCGCAGTGACCCAGACGACGGCCAGGGCCTGGGCAAGCAGACCGTTGACGTCGGTGGGCCAGAGGGGAGAACGTGCGGACGGTGGGGTTTGGCCCCGGGTTCAGACTCCAGTGCTAGAAGCAGGGGGTGCTTCAGGCTCAGCGTGGGTGGGAGTGGCCCCCCAACAGGCTTCTTTCTTGGTTGCAGGACAGTGACGGGGACAAGAGTGACGATCTGGTGGTGGATGTTTCCAACGAGGTGAGCACAGACAGGCCTGGGTTGCGGAGTGCTCTGCTTGGGGTGGTTCTAGGCGGCCCGTCCCCTGGCTGGGAGCTGTGTGTCTCGGGTGCTGCTCCAGTGTGCTGGTAGCCTGAGCAGGGCAGCGAGGCCTCTGGTGTTGGGGCCTTGGGCTGCTCAGGAGGAGGAGGACAGGGCTTGGCTTGCATGGTGGCCTGGGTTCCTAGGACAGGAGCTCAGGGGAGGGAGCGCAAGCATGCCTCAGAGGTCCCAGGCAAGGGCCGGCTCCTGTTCCCCATGGTCCTCCAGGTTTAGCTCTGTTCTTCCCTCCCATCCCCCCACCCCAGCATCTTGAGGGTAGGGGTCATGAGCCCCTTGGGACCTGCTTCAGCAGGGAAGGAGGACCTGGAGAGAGCTGCACGAGGCCAAGAGGTCCCACTGCCCAGATTTGAGTCCTGAACTTGTGTCTGGTCCTGGGATGGTCACCGTCCCCCACCTCCCCACCAGGCCCCAGTCTCCCCATCTGTGGGATAAAGGGGTGAGACCAGACCCCCCACTTCAGGGGCTCCCGTCTCTCTGCCCAGCCCCCTCCCCGGCAGCCGTTGCGCTCCCTCCCCGTCCCTGGCACAGGGAAGACTCCTGGCTGGTTGTGGCTGTCAGTGCATCTCTGCGTCCCTTGTGCTTTTAGGACCCCGCGACGCCCCGGGTCAGCCCGGCACACTCCCCTCCTGAAAATGGGCTGGACAAGGCCCGCGGCCTGAAAAAGGACGCCCCCACTAGCCCCGCCTCCGTAGCCTCCTCCAGCAGCACACCTTCCTCCAAGACCAAAGACCTTGGTCATGTATGTGGGGTCTGTCGCTGGTGCCACAGAAGCGGAGGGCTGGGGCAGGTTGGGGTGGAGGGAGAAGGTTCTGGAAAAGGGACAAGCTGGAGTGGTCATAATTAGAGGGTAGAGGGGTGGCGTATGAAGAACATGGATTGGGGTTTGGCCCCAGTTCAAACACTGGCTTTCCCACTTATTGCCTGGGCCCTGTGCTACCAGTGAAATGTTCCCGAGCCTTGGTTACTGCATCTGTAAAATGGGAACAATTGCCACAGTCCCAGCCAAATAAGGTTGGGCAAGAATTGAGGGGCTGTTGGGCAGAAGATTCAGAACTGGGGCCGGCACTGGGTAGTGTGGCCAGTTCCAGATGCCCGCCTCTTGAGAGAAAGGAATCTTGGTGTCTTCCCTGTTCAGAACGACAAGTCCTCCACCCCTGGGCTCAAGTCCAACACGCCTACTCCAAGGAACGATGCCCCGACTCCAGGCACCAGCACGACCCCAGGGCTCCGGTCGATGCCGGGCAAACCTCCAGGCATGGACCCGATAGGTATAATGGGTAGGCACGCTGGGGCTGGGGCGACCGCGCTGGAGGGTTGGGGTCTGCCCGGGCCAGGGCTGGAGCTGCATGGCTAGGCCAGAGCTCTGAGCACTATGTGGGAGTTGGGGCTCTCTTGGGACCTGCCTCCAGGGGGACTCCACGGTCAGGTTTGAAGAGGACATGGACACCTGGTGGGTCAACACTGATGTCAAGGGCTCACTGAGGCCACTGTTGGACTCGGCGTGTGCAAGGCACTTCAGATAGGTCAGGACACCTGTAGTCTGTCCCCAACTGTGTCATTAGTTCTGTGACACTCTCAGCAACTCCCTTCTCTGGGCCTCCATGTCCTGCTCTGTAAGAAGTGGGCACGTCTCTCGGCTTGAACCTTCCGGACTGCGAGGACCAGGATCCCAGTTAAATGGGGTCAGTCCAAGAGGACGGCCTGGAGCAGGAAGCTTTTTGAGTGTAGGAAGGGTTGCTGCAGGGCTGGGAGGCATCCTGGTGGCCCGAGCTTTGTCCTGGAAGGAGGGGTGGGCCCGCTCCCCCTGGTGCCCCCCAGCCCCCAGCTGACACCCTCCTCCTTGCAGCCTCGGCCTTGCGCACGCCCATCTCCATTACCAGCTCCTACGCGGCCCCCTTTGCCATGATGAGCCACCACGAGATGAACGGCTCGCTCACCAGCCCGAGCGCCTACGCCAGCCTTCACAACATCCCACCGCAGATGAGCGCAGCTGCTGCTGCCGCCGCCGCTGCCTATGGCCGATCGCCAATGGTGAGCTTTGGAGCTGTACGTAGACCTTTTGGCTCCTTTTGTGCGGGGGTTGGGGGGGACTGGGAAAGGAGTAGGGAGTTGGTGGGGGTTGTCAGGCAGCTGCCTCTGGGGCAGAGTGTTTATTAGAAAAAGAAAGGAACAAAGCTTTGGGGTCAGCAGACCTACCCCCATTTGGCTTATTAGTCGTCAAAAGACCTTATGCAACTCAGGCCCGCCCCTCCCCCTGCCCAAGTCATCTTTTTCCATCTGGAAAGTGGGACTGCTCTCTTTTTCTGGGCTCCATGGGGATGGGAATCCCAAAAGGAGTTCCGTGACTTCCACATAGCCTGGGTTTGGTAAATGAGGCTGCTTCCCATACCAAGAATGAGTTTGGATTTGGGTCGGCAGGGAGGGATTCTTTCTCAGGAGATGGTTTCTCTCCTGGGTGGCCTCCTCTCCCTGTGACGGGCCCACTGGACACCAGGGGAGAGAAGGAAGTGGGGCCAGGTCAGCTCTGCCTGGTGGGACAGGGAGCACTGGGGATGTGGGGCTCAAGGGTACTGGCTCACAGTTGGTAGTGTCTGGACTGGCACCCTGTCCCTCCCACTGTCCTGGGCAAGACACCTGGCCTGCTGGACCTGTTTTTCCTCTGAGACCATAGGCTGTGCTCTGTCTTCTGGGTTTTGAAGAGGGAGCACTGTGGGCAGGACGTAGGAAATGGTGAAGGAAGAGGCTGAGGGTAGGGACTGCGAGGCGGCCTCCCTCACTAAGGGCTGGCCTTATCTTGCCTTACAGGTTGGTTTTGACCCTCACCCTCCCATGCGGGCCACTGGCCTTCCCTCAAGCCTTGCCTCCATTCCTGGTGGGAAACCGTAAGTTCTGGCTGGCTTACTGCATGCTCATTGGGGAAGGCACACAAACCCCTACCCCTCTCCCTGGCCCTGGCCCTGACCTTGGCCTTGGCCTTGAGAAGGTATCTGCCCCCTAGAGGTATGCAGATACCAGGTTGGAGCCGCAGGAAACAGCTGCCTGGCCATACTCCTGATCGGCCCTGGGGCTCCTGCTGAGTGGGGAACTGAGAGGGGGCTGGGGAGCACACCTCCATTGATGGGGCCTCCCTAGCCCAATGATGTGAGCACCCCGGCCTCAGGAGCTCCTCTGGGTTTGAGTTGAGGGAAGCACCCCTAGCTAGCACCCACAGTGGCCTAAAATAGCAGGCAGACCATGCTGGCTCACCTCTGGCTCCAACATGCACTCCATGATTCATCCTGGGGGGCACACCTCTTCCCCTCCCTGTTAACCCCTGGGCTTGCAAAGGAAGAGATGACCTTCAAGCCGAACCGTTTCCACAGGGATTTAGAGATGGTAGGAAAGGGATTTAGAGATGGTAGGAAAGCCCCATGTGGGGCCAATGACGCGGTCTAGAGCCAAGGGTCTGGGGGCAGGAGCAGAAGTCAAGGCTGGGTTGTTAAGCAGCCCCCTACCCTGTAGAGCCAGGCCAAGGAGGTTGGGGTGCCTGGGTTCCCTAAGATTTGGGGAGTGGGGTGCAGAGGTGCACCAGTCAGGGTGGTGCCATCTGACCTGGGTTGGACTCGTGGGAACTGAGAAGATTGGGGATGACGGAAGGGACGGGTTCTCCCTTTTAGGGCGTACTCTTTCCACGTGAGTGCTGACGGGCAGATGCAGCCCGTGCCCTTCCCCCACGACGCCTTGGCTGGTCCCGGCATCCCCCGCCATGCCCGTCAGATCAACACGCTGAGCCACGGGGAGGTGGTGTGTGCTGTGACCATCAGCAACCCCACGCGGCATGTCTACACGGGGGGCAAGGGCTGTGTGAAGATCTGGGACATCAGCCAGCCAGGCAGCAAGAGCCCGATCTCCCAGCTGGACTGCCTGGTGAGAGGCCCCAGGACCACAGACATTTCCTCTGGCTGGTGAAGGGGCACCCTGGCTGGGCAGCAAGCTGGCTGGTGGACCCCTGAGCCCTGGGTTTACCATCCTTAAGTGGAGATAATACTGAGCTTGCCAGGGTTGGTAAAGACATGCACGAAAGATTGAAGGGTTGTGGGTGGGGGAGGGGACGGCCTCCGGAGGACACTTAGTGTCGCTGGGTGGGATTCTTCTGGTCCCTGGGAGGAGGGGTGGCCAGAGCTCAACGTTGCCCCTTCTCCCTCCAGAACAGGGACAACTACATCCGCTCGTGCAAGCTGCTCCCCGACGGGCGCACGCTCATTGTGGGTGGCGAGGCCAGCACGCTCACCATCTGGGACCTGGCCTCACCCACGCCCCGCATCAAGGCCGAGCTGACATCCTCAGCCCCTGCCTGCTACGCCCTGGCCATCAGCCCTGACGCCAAAGTCTGCTTCTCCTGCTGCAGCGACGGCAACATCGCCGTGTGGGACCTGCACAACCAGACCCTGGTCAGGTGCGGCTGCACCAGGGGGCAGGGGAGCTTCGTTCTCGGGAAGGTCGTGTTGGTCATAACAGGGTCCTGCCCGGGGTGCTTTGGCTGTGGGGTGGTCACATTAGAGTGGGCCGGCTGAGGGGCAGCCATGTGTCAAGTGATTGGTGTGGGTGGGGACAGAGGGCACCTCTGCAGAAGGCTCCTAGGAGAGGGGAGCATAGAATCCAGAGCACTGGAGACAAGCAGAGGGAGGGAACTGAGGAAGGAGGGCATCGGCACCCGGGCGGTCGGAGCAGTGTCACTTGGTGGTTGTCGTGGGGCCTCAGGAGTGGCGGCCCCATGCAAATCTTGCCTCCATTATGACCCCGTCCCGGGGGAGGAGACCCAGCTCTACTGCAAGCTCACCGGATGGCCGTGGGTGCACGGTCCACCCCCTTCTCGGCCTAAGTTTCCTCTTCTGCTCAGACACAGCTGGCCTTGGTGGTCAGTGGGTCCGGAGGGCTCACTCCTTCTCCCTGCTTGGCCTCCGTAGGCAGTTCCAGGGTCACACAGATGGGGCCAGCTGCATAGACATCTCCCACGATGGCACCAAGCTGTGGACCGGAGGCCTGGACAACACCGTGCGCTCCTGGGACCTGCGCGAGGGCCGCCAGCTGCAGCAGCATGACTTCACCTCCCAGGTGTGCGCGCTCCTCCCCTCCCCCAGGACAGCATGTGCCCTTCCCTTCGGGGGTCCCAGTGGCTGGGTCATGGGACAAGGGAGCCCTCACAGGTGGTCATTGCAAATGGACCTGTGACCAACTTGAGCCACCTCGGAGGGCTTCCTGGAGGAGGCAGCAATAGAATAGAATGGAGAAAGAAGGCCCCGGACTTGGATGTACTTGACGCAGCTGCTGTGATTGGATTCTTAGCTCCTTTGTTGTTGAGCACTTTGGCCCCAGTTTTTTCTTCCCTTGTGGGATGGGCACGGTAGTAGCTATGTTGTAGGTGTGGTGTGAGCATCTGAAGTGGTCCCTCTAAAAGCCTTCGCCATAGTCCGGCTCGTAGAGGATGTTCTGTGGATGTCGGGTAGCCTTATTTTCCGTTATTGTTTGTGTTATTCGTTTAAATGTTTTAACCATACGTATTTAGTATTTTAACGTTTCTATTCACTTTTTTCATTAAGGAAAGGCTAAAGTCGCAGGGACAAAGTAACTTTGAAAGTGAAACACTTGTGCCACCTCTGAGTTGGAATGCTGGCTCTACCACTTACTTTTTAGAGTCAGCGACCTCTCTGAGCCCCTATGTCCTGGCCCCTAAAAGGCATTCCAGGGCTGAGGGAGAGGAGAGGGGCTTTGCCTTGCAGGTGGGGATGTGATGGGAAGGGGAACAGTGGGCCCGGGGGTCCCTGAGCAGGGCCTTCAAGGAGCCCCTGGGGCCCCAGGTGGAGGGTTGGGGGATAGAGGAGCTGAGTCTGGTCTGCTGCCCCCTGCAGATCTTCTCACTGGGCTACTGCCCCACTGGGGAGTGGCTGGCTGTGGGCATGGAGAGCAGCAACGTGGAGGTCCTGCACCACACCAAGCCGGACAAGTACCAGCTGCACTTGCACGAGAGCTGCGTGCTATCACTGAAGTTTGCCTACTGCGGTGAGCCTCAGGGGGCCGGGAACCCCGGGCAGCCTGGCCTGCCCTCTGCGCAAAGGGGGGCCCAAAGCTGAGAGCAAGGCAGAGCCTCTGCGCCAGCCACGTCCTGGAATCCAGCCTCCCGATCCCGACTGCTGTCATTCATGTTCAGCGTCCGCGGCCCCCTCCCCCCACCCCGCCGTCCTGTCCCTTGGATGCAGATACGGCCACAGGGTACCAAGCACTCATGGCAGCAGCCTAAGACTGTGGGCTGTGGTGGCAGACAGCCCCAGGTTGGATCTGCTTCTCCCTGGTCTGGCTGCGCAACCTCAGCTCTCCCCATCGTCTCCGCCTGCCGGGGGTTCTTTCTCCGAAGCGGCCTAGGGCCCCCATGCGACTTTGGGGAGCAGGAGTGCATTAGCACAGGCAGAGCCCTGCAGAGCCCAAGCACCAGCCCATCTCTGCCTGCGGCTGGCTGGGTCTCCAGACCTCAGGGCTCTGCCATTTCTAGCGCTTTCTGCCGCCTTCCAGTTGTAAAACTGAGAAGGGTCACTCAGCTGGTGGCTTTAAAAAGAATCTTTTGGGGAAGGGCAATGACTGTGATGAAGTGCAAATCCTACTGTTCTCTATCCCGGCTGTGCCCACCGCCCCCCCGCCCCTGCCTGGGACTGCAGAGAGTTCGTACTGGGAGGGTCTGTGAGTCCATTACAGGTCTCCCTTATGAAATGCCCCCCACCAGCCGGGAGTCCAGCTGTGGCCCACACCACCTCTCCATGGCAGCCAGCCGTGTCTGGGGTGGGTCTTGCTTTCCAAGGCAGTGAGCCATGAGCTGACGTTCCCTTTGCCACCCGCCTGCAGGCAAGTGGTTCGTGAGCACTGGGAAAGACAATCTCCTCAATGCCTGGAGGACGCCGTACGGAGCCAGCATATTCCAGGTACCGCCCTGGGGTCCCCGGCTCCTGCCCCAGGTCTGGGCCTCCCCCTGGGGATGGGGATGGCCCCTTCCAGCCCTTACGTGCTGGGGGTCCGGGATGGGTCCCCCGGAGCCAAGTCCTGGGACACATCAGCGGGCCACACACTGCTGCTCATGGCCTCTGACCCATGGGGCGAGGGCTTTTAAGCGGGAATTCTACGGGATTTCTAGAGCAGGGAGTTAAGTCATGTTCTTGGTTCTGGCTGGTGTACTGAGCACTCACGGGTGGTGCACTGGACAGCTCTTTCCAGAGTAGTGTTGCCTGATACTCAAGTAAGGTTGTGTTTCGACACCTCAGGGTAAGGAGTGAGGTGAGGCAGGAGAGGATGGTCTGGAAAGAGATGGGAGAGCGGGGAGAGGCTTTTGGTGATTTTTCAAGATCTGGGTTCCGACATACAGCTCTCACTCACACACAGTCTTGACCACACACACGCACGTGTATACGTGCACACACAGTGTGCTCCCAGCCTACAAGACGTTTTCAGGATCTGTGCTGGGACTGTATGGCATCCAGAGTGTCCCATGTGTAACCCTCAGAGTCTCCCTAGTCACACGGGACGCTTCGGGTCGGGCGTAGGTCTCCTTCCTAGCTTGGCCCAGTGGCTGCCCACACCCTGATCTGAAGTGCTGTAAACTCCTGTCTGTAAACTCCGGGGAGAAGCTCGTGAGCCTTTCCCGGTGGGAAAGCCGGAGGACAGGGCATCTGTTCCTGAAAGTGCCTCTCCAGGTGGTGCTGGGTGTGCTCAGGGTTGGAGCTCTGGGGCTGGCAGGTGGGGCGTGACACACACAGCGCAGAAGTCATGCTGAGTACCAGGAAAGTGAGTTTCTGCCTTTTTTTCTCCCCCCACCCTCCTGCCTGTCCTCGCCTTCCTCCTGCAGTCCAAGGAATCCTCATCTGTCTTGAGTTGTGACATTTCGGCAGATGACAAATATATTGTAACAGGCTCTGGTGACAAGAAGGCCACGGTTTATGAGGTCATCTACTAAACAAGGACTCTAACTGGGCTGTCAGACTCTGGGAGAGACAGACTCGGCGGTGACAGGGCGACCCCGCGAGGGGCCCCGAGGCTGGCAGAGGCTGGCGGCGGGCAGCCGAGTTGTCCAGGGCTGCGCTCCGGCAGGCCGAGAGGGTGCGCCCGCCACAGTCCGGACCGCTGGGCATGGACCCCTGTGTCTCAAGGACTCCGATGGATGTCTCTCCTCCTCCCCGTCCGCAACCCTGGCAGATGCTACAAGTAGATCTCTTTGGAGGGTTGAGGCTCCAACCCCCCAACAGACGCCCTCATGAATCTCCATCTTTCCTTCCCCTCTTTTGCTCTGTGCCCCTGCCACGGGTCGGGGATGCCAGAGTGGACCACGTGCTTGTGCTGGGGGAGGGGGGAATCTCATTTTCCCTATTGTGCAGCGCACAATGTTTGTGAAAAATGTAAATAACAGACTCCTCTATCTCGGACTGGTCAGTGGGGAAGGAAGCTCCTTCCCACCGAAAACGCTAGCCGTGTACTTCGCCTGCTGTATTTGTAACCCACTCGTGGTGGTGGCTTTTTTTTTTTTTTTTTTTTTTTAAAGGGACATCCCCATCTGGGAAGGGGCGGCCGGGAGGGGGAGCCAAATGGAGAGGGCGTGGAGGGGGCAGAGGAAGGGAGCCGCAGCCAGTGACCAGACTGACTAGGAAGTGGGGTCCCTGGGATGAGCGTACCTCCCCGTGGGCTCGGGAACAGCCTGAGGCCTGTCAGGACCCTGGCAAGGCTTGCTTGGTGGCCAGCTGGGCTGACGAAGGTCGGACTTCTTGTGGCCGCCTGCGCTTGCCTCCCTCTGTCTCAGGGGTCTGACTCTTTCTCTTTCCTTTTTTCCTCTCTCTCTCTCTCTCTCTCTCTCTCTCTCTCTCTTTGGTGCACACTCGGTTATGGTGAGGAGAGGTGGAGGCGTAAAGGAACTCCATCTCTGGCCCTTCGTGATCTTCGGATACAACCTTCAAAGGACAGAAAGAGGAAAGCATAGCAACTCAGCTCAGGGAGCTACCAGAGAAAAATAGCAAAACTGATGTGGGTGCTTTTTTTTTTTTTTTTTTTTTTTTTTTTTTTTGAATAAAAAGAGAATCGATGTCCTTTATAAAATGCCTTCTCCCCCTTTCCTGCTTCAGACCCCCTCCTCTCTCCCTAGAGGGGAAAAGCGTAATCAACCTATAAGAGTTGGGAGTCCGAAGGGATACTCTTCCCCCCCCACCCCCTGCCCAACCCGGGCCCACCCCAGGGGTCACAGCAGGGCTGAAGGACCCGGGGTTGGGTGGGGACACCGGTCCTGGCACTGTGGCGATTTCTTGTAGCTTTCAGTCTTTCCTTGGAGCCCAAACAGTTTACAGGAAAAATCGTCTCCTGTAGGTGCCACTCTTTGGTACCAAAATGTTCTGAGGTATTAGGATTTGGGTTGTTTTTTTTTGTTTTTGTTTTTGTTTTCCTCCCTTCTTCTTGGTCTTTTTTTTTTTCTTTTAAGGAAAAGCTAAAGGCCGATGTGAGTCCTGGTGATGGGCTCTCCATGGATGTAGCATATGGAAGATAATTTTGATACTGCATTTTTATGGATTATTTTATAATGTGTGATTCTGTCTGGTGAGAAGGAAGGAAGGGGCCCCAGTGGAAACTGCCGGTCTTCAGTGATCTTGCTCCAGGCGAGCAGCTCCCATGATGTGACCCAGAGACCATGGAGACTGGCTGGGTGCCCTGTACCTTTCGGAGGGTGGGGAGGGGCCGTCTGGAGAATTTCTCTCTCTCTCTCTGGGTCCCAGGTATGCCTCTGCCATGTCTTGTTAAAGGCTCCAGCCACAAGGGAGGGTGAGGGTAGAAGAAAGTTGATTCCTGAAGAAAAAAAAAGAAAATGAAAAGTCATTGTAATGAGCTGTTTTTATATTTTTAAAAGTTGCTATTTAAAGGTTGGCTTGATTGTTGTGTCTTAATTGCCTCTACCTGTCCCTCCCACCTGTTTGTCAGACCTCCCCCCAAAAGAGAGGGGGGCCACTGTCATCCGCACGCCCTGGATTCTGGGTGATTTCCCTTGTCATCCCTAAACAGAAGCTCTTCTCATCTCAAAGCACTTCCCCGCACTGCCCCCAAACCCTAAAAGTCTGATCTCGCAGGACAGTGAGGGGTGGGCGCTGTCCCTGACTTCCCCAGGCCCCCTTCCAGCAGGCCAGGGAATGGTGTGTGGGAGCCGGGATTTCCTCTGGGTGCCTGCTCAGGATAAAGTTCCCGGAAGGGAGGACCACAGATTTATACCAGAGTCTAATTAAACAGCCGTCCGTGCTAAACGTTTTGGCAAAAAATGAAACGCAAAGAACTTCAAGTGTAAAGTGTCTGTGAACGCCTGGGCTCTGAAAGCCTTCACCATCTTAAGTTTCAAGTTAGATGTCACGCGGGGGACCTCAGTCTCTAGTTCACAAAGCTGCGCGTGAAGGCTTTCAGAGGGGGTATTTTGCAGAAGGGGGAGCAGGGTAGGAAATGCAGGCCAGTGCCCGGAGGGAAGCAGGTCTAGGCTGCTTCTGAGGCTCTGGGATTTCCTGCACCCAGTAGAGAAACCTGTCCTAAAGCTGGGAACTAACGTGGTTTCCAACTCCTTACTTGGTCAAAGTCCTTTTAAATCACAGTTGCGCACTGTCGTTTTACACAAAAAGGGAGTAATGTAACATTTTTAAAAAGGGGTTAAAGTTAGGATAAAGCACAGTCTTGATTAGCCTAGAAAGGACAGCTGGACTGCATGCACAGAGAGCTTGTCCAGCTGGAGAGGCTTCTAGAGAAGCTTCCAGCAGGTAGAGCAGGTCGGAGGAGGAATGCTGAGGCCACGTGTGGCCAACAGCTCTGTATTGACCTCATGGACTTGAGTAGACCGGCACACTGTTGACGCACCGAAGCAGAGGGCCAGATGGTGGGCTCTGGCCAGAAGATTCTAAAGATTCTGCGTATGCCCAGGACCGGCCTGGGGATTGTCCACCAGTGCTAAGATAGGATTGGGCTTGCAGGCCTCAAGGAGAGGACAAGCAGCGCACCTGTCTGAGAAGGGGAAGCAACCCGTGGAAGGCTGTTGTAACCAGATGTCTCGGGCGCTGTCCAGGGCGTAGAGCCGACCATGGACGCTCACAGTCGATGGTGGCGAGCTCATACAGCCCCGGGTTTGACTGTGTACATGCTGCTGGCAACACCGCCCAGGCCCCAGCTGCAATTGCCTTGCCTCCCACCTGTTGTCACGGCCACTGTCCCTTACATGGGCTTGCCAAGCCTCCATGAAGATGGTCCCATCTCCTGCATCTTCCTCGGCGCCTCATCCAGCGCTCTGCTCCGCTCCCCACCCAGCTTGTTAGAAACCTGGAACCCCAGGTCCTGCTGCAGCTGACTGCATTTTAACAGCCCTTCTGTGATCCCTTGGCCCCTGTACATTTGTGAGGGGCTCTTCTAGTCCAAGGTGAGGGGCCTACTCGCAGTGAACGATACGCCTCCCTTCCTCAGTACCCCCAGGTCACTCCTGCCTCCTCCCCAATGGGGGCAGAAGACCTTGACACTATTTTCAAAGTCACCCCTAACGTTTCCCTGCCGAAACCAGGCCCAGTCAATCCTAGCATTGGCCACCTGTCATCGCATCTGTCTGTCTGCCCAGCTAGACGAGCTTCCCTGGAAGGCAGCATCCAGGACTTCAGGATGGTCCTGGTGAAGAAATGATGAACTTCCCCCAGCTGGAGATATCCTATCTCTCTGGGAAGCCAGGCGTGTGGATGCTTGGAAATGAAGCAGAGAAGTGGCCTGCCTTCCTGAATCTTTCAGCTCTGCCATTGCCCAAGGATAGCAGATCTGTTTTTAAAAATGGGGAGGGCATGGCTGTGAGAAGGCTGCTTTCCTGCTTTTAGTCCACATTGGGTCATGTGCAAGTGTCCGGGTCATCCCAAGCCACAGCCGACCAGGCCGCACGCCTGCTGGCCTCTCTCTGAGTCACTGCCTGCCCATCCCCTCTCCCCAACCCCTCAGCTGTCCAACCCCAGCCCAGGCAGAGACTCCTAATTTTAGCATCTGTGAGAAGGTACAGAGACAAGCATCTCTGGATACAGTAGCTGGACAGATCCTTATCAAGACTGCCAAATGGTATAACCTGGCCATCGAATATTTCTTGATGGTAGAGTGTACTTTAACCCCCCAGAACACAGTGCTTGAAAATGAACATTATTTTTAATGTAAAGTACGGCTAACAAACGATTTATCTTTAAAAAATTTGCGCAGTTCTGCACCATTTTATTTTTCTTCACGATAGCAATAGAAAACACACTCAATGTCAGTACCAGGGCAGCATTTTTAAACCTTTAAAATTGGACCTTTTGTATTTGAAGAGGTAGCTCGACTGAGCCCTTGATTTTAAGAATGGGACAGTTAGGCCCAGAAAGGGCAAGAGACTCATTGAGTCAACCAAATCACATCTCCCTTTCCTCAGTTCCCTTTCAGGGAGGCCAGGACTGATGTTTGGAGGATTAGAATCCAGAGGATGAGGGCTCCTGCCCCTTCAACAAACAGTACAGGTGAAAAAATTCCTCATGGAAATAGGCAAGAAAAGTCATGGAAACCAGCCTCCTCCTCTGAGAACCTAGAACCCACCCACTCATCCATCCACCCATCTGTCGAACTATCCTTGTATCCACCCATCCATCCAACCAACATTTATGTAATGAGCATTAATATGATAGGCATGGTTCTAGGTGCTGGAATGCAAAGATCAATAAGACATAATGCTTATGCTTACAGAACTTTCTCCGCCAGAGGTGGGAAAGAGCTGATCCCAGGCAGAGGAGATCAGTGATCTCAAAGTGAAGAGCGTAGGAGGGAAAGTGAAAGAAAAGAAGCCCCCTTCCCAACTCCAACCCTGCCCCGCTCAGGCCTTCCATGTGTCCACCAGGGCACCAGTAGTCAGCACCCAGAAGACTCCAGTGTGCTTGCCCTGACTCAGCTCTCTCCCAGGCAGATCAGACAGGGCAGGGTTGGTGGCTCAGAAGTAGGCTCTTGGGACCTCCTGGACTGTGGAAACCAGATGAAAGTCAGATGGGGCTGGGGCCTTTGTCTCGCCTTGATACTGTAGCTGTCCAGTGCAAGCGTTTGCTGACAATAGGTTACATGGTTTGAAAAAAGCAGGTCTGGATTTTTTAATTCTGGCAAATGAAACAGCAGGCTAGTAAGATTTCCCTTTAACCATGTGGACACTGAGACATGATGGATAAAATTAAGCTAGAACAATTTTAGTAGCTTACCTAGAAAGAAAAAGAAGAA